CCCTCTCTGGAAAAAGGAGGAAGAGGGGGGGGAAATGAAAAGTATCCACCCGCCCACGACCCTTCAGCAAAAGCAGCTTCCCAGATTCTCTCTCTCTTTTTTTTTAACGCGGAGAAAAAAAGCAAAAGTTTCTTCTGGGGCTTGATTGGACAGGAAGCGACCAATCAGAGAAGCAGAGGGATGGCCAAGAAAGGAAGGAAGGAAGGAAGGAAGAAGGGGGGGCAGCAAGCCACGCCTCCGCCATGCCTCAAGTTTTGCGGCAGTCCCCGACCGAGCGAAAAACGGCCTTTCGGGGATCTCCGTTCCCTGCTCTGCCTGCGGGTCTTCCTCGAAACCGCGGGCTCCTTGCTCGTTATTCTCGCCGCTCCCCTGTGTCCAAGATAGTGGCGCAGATATGCCCTGTTCGGAGCGCGCAGCTGCCTGTGCCCTTCCCGACCAGTTCCACTTAAGTGTCAGAACCAGAAAGAGGCAGCGCCAGAGGCAGCTGAGGCTTCTCTCCGGAGCCCCCAGGGAAGGAGGGAAGGAGACCTCGCAAGCTTTTAGCCTGGGCGGTGCAAAGAGTGAGCATTTCCCTTCCAAACGAATTATCAACGGACTTGGGGTGTTAAGGAGTTGAGGCGGTGTCTTGTCCTTCCATTCCTGAATGTGGAGGGGCGGGAGGAGGGAGGATGAATCTTTCGTACGGAACACCTTTCATTCTCTGATACAGCCAGGTAGGGCTGGGACCGACTAACGCCGGAAGCGTTTGAGGGTCACTGAGGGACAGAGTTGCTATTTCAGTCGACAAACTGCACCGCCGTGAGCTCGCTGAATCCGTGGCCAGGCTGTTTGGAAAGACAGTTCCTCCATCGGCCGGTGCAAACAACACATCCCGATTGTTTTATTTTGAACTGTGTTAATGGATGGCAAAGAGGCCTGATCATACAAAGATAGTTAGCACAAATAAGTCCCTGGATCTGGATTTCTTTTTCAAAAGTAGGAGGAGACTTCTGGAATCTGATTCAGCCAGAGAAGCAAGCTCTAGGGTTATGTGATAAAAATCGGGAGGGAAAGCCAGATTCCCCCAGAAATAAATCCCACGAGGTTCAAGGGTGCTTGATACCAAGTAACGAAGCTCAAGTCTAGAACATTTGTAGGTTAGATGGTGATCCACCTTCAGTTCGATCCCCTGGAATGCAATAGGTGAAAAGTAATCAGTGCTGGCCCTTTTGCCCATTCAAATAAAAGAAACTTGCAGAGGACAGTGCGCAGCTTGAAGACAAACGTGCCTTTCCTTAATGCCAATTCAATGCTCCAGCAGTATAAGATTGCTCTCCCACCCCCCGCCCCCCCATGAAGACTCTCTGCAACGCAAAGTTTGCACAATTTTGTACAGGTAGCCTAAATTATTGCCTTTGGGTTTTAGATCTTTTTTTTAATTATTTTTTCTCCCTGCAAACCCTACTGTTACTTCTTTAAAGTATCTTCATTGTAAAACCAGATTTCCGTCAAGCCGGACCATTGT